TGCCATCCTTCCCTAGCCCCGTCCCCTGCCCTGGGACACCTCCAGCCCCTGCACGTCTCTCCTGCAGAGAGAGCCCAGGACTGGTCCTAGTACTCCAAGGGCCTCCCCAGTGCCAGCACAGAGGGACAATCCCTGCCCTGGGCCTGTGCCCACACCATGGTGACATGCCAGATGCCATCACACACCTAGGCTCAATCCACCCACTGCCACGAGCACCCCCAGTGCCTTTCTCAGCTTTCCAGCCACTCTGCCCCACATCTGGAGCACTCCGTGGGGCTGGTGTGACCCAAGTGCAGGACCTGTCACTTGGCCTTGGTGACCCTCACAGAAGTGTCCCCAGGCCATGGTCCCACCTGTACAGATGCCCCTGTGGAGCCTCCTGTCCCCAGAAGAGCCACATCCTGCACACCTGTGTCACCTGGGGATAGGCTGAGGTGCCCTTGGTGCCCTCACCCAGTGTCAGGGAAGGTGTTAAACAGGGAGGCAGCCCCAAAACTGAGCTGGGGGTGCCCCTGCACACACACACACACACACACACACACACACACACACACACACACACACACACACACACACACACACACACACACACACACACACACACACACACACACACACACACACACACACACACACACACACACACACACACACACACACACACACACACACACACACACACACACACACACACACACACACACACACACACACACACACACACACACACACACACACACACACACACACACACACACACACACACACACACACACACACACACACACACACACACACACACACACACACACACACACACACACACACACACACACACACACACACACACACACACACACACACACACACACACACACACACACACACACACACACACACACACACACACACACACACACACACACACACACACACACACACACACACACACACACACACACACACACACACACACACACACACACACACACACACACACACACACACACACACACACACACACACACACACACACACACACACACACACACACACACACACACACACACACACACACACACACACACACACACACACACACACACACACACACACACACACACACACACACACACACACACACACACACACACACACATACACACACACACACACACACACACATACACACACACACACACACACACACATACACACACACACACACACACACACATACACACACACACACACACACACACAGGTATGCTGATACACACACATATGTGTCCCCCCGATCACTCACATCCAATCAACACAACACAGATGAAGATCTCCTTGCAGTTGGTGTTAGGGGCACATTCCTGAGGCCCCTGGAGCTCTCGCATACAGGTGTTCTCACACACATACAGGTGTCACATACACAAAGGTGAGCTCTCAAACACACCTCTGATCACTCACATCCTACGATCATGACGCAGATAGAGAAGATCTCCTTGGAGCTGGTGTTGGGGGACACGTTGCTAAAGCCCATGTTGGTCACACAGCTCACACACACCTGGATGCACACACAGGTGTCTCACACACAGGTGCTCACACACACACAGAGGTGTGTTCTCACACACACACCTCACAGTCACTCACATCCAATGGTCACTCACATTCTATTAACATGATGCAGATGGAGAAGATCTCAGAGTTAGTGTTGTGGGACACATTGCTGAAGTCCCTGAGGTTCTCATATATGTGTCACACTCACATAGGTGTGTTCTCACACATAGGTGAGCTCTCTCACACCCCTGATCACTTACATCCAACAACATGACACAGATGGAGAAGATCTTCTTGGAGCTGGCGTTGGGGGACATGTTGTAAAGCCCTCAGGGCTCTCACACACACCTGGATGCACATATAGGTATCACACACCCCTGTTCACTCGCATCCAATCAACATGATGTAGATGGAGATCTTCATGAAACTGGTGCTGGGGGAACGTTACCAAAGTCCCTGGGGCTCACACACAGGTGTTCTCACACCCCTGATCACTCACATCCTACCAACATGATGTGGATGGAGATTCCCTCAGAGCTGGTGTCAGGGGACATGTTGCTGAAACCCATGTTGATCACACAGTTCACACACACTCCTGGATGCACACACACTCCTGGATGCACACACAGGTGTCACACACACATACAGGTGTGTTGTTACACCCCTGGTCACTCACATCCTATGAGCATGACACAGATGGAGAAGATCTTCTCGGAGTTGGTGTTGGGGGACACGTTGCCGAAGCCCACGCTGGTGAGGCTGCTGAAGGTGAAGTAGAGGGCGGTGACGTACTTGTCCTTGATGGAGGGCCCGCGCCGGGGGTCACTGCCATTGAGGGGCTTCCCGATCTGCTGGCCCAGGGCGTGCAGCCAGCCCGTGCGCTGCCCCTCCACGTTGCCGATGGCGTACCAGATGCAGGCGAGCCAGTGGGCAATCAGGCCGAAGGTGCACATGAGCAG